GACTGAACTGTATAAATAGAGGGATGTGGGGTGGCAGCCTTCCTATAATAGAAAGAACACAGGGAGAGACTGAGTAGAAAGCGTTTAGACCAAGTCATTCTATAACTGCAGGCTTCAGTGGCCAGTTTGTTTTATGCCTCATACCTGTTCTTGCATCTCTTCCACCCTGCCTTTCCCTCCACTTGCTATCCAAACACCCACATTAGGCTCAAGGGTGTAATAAATACTGCTAGAAAGAAGGTCATCAAAATGAGGACAGATCAGCTGTTTTGTAATTTAAGATTTTGATATCTATTATACATAATTGCCAAAGCTGAGGCTGGTTATTCAGCAGTCCAATGGATCTGGAGACAGCTCAGAGACACATATCAAAAGGAAATTTATAGCTTTCCTTCTAGGATAGAAATTGGCATAACTGAAATCCCTAAAGGAATTGGGAGGAAGACTTGTTTTAAACTTGGGTACATGTAAAGGGTGAAATGACCATGGGTCATTAATATATTCAGGTCCAAAGACAAAGAAAAAAAGTACTGAAAATCAGTAATGGGTGAGCCAGAACTATGTAAGTCCTCTTGAAGAACAAGGTCTTTGTAGTTGACTTCAGTTTCTGGTGGCAATGGTCTTAAGTCAGTCTTCAGAAGACTTCTGGGCATGACCTACCAGAAAATCTTGTGACATGAGGAAAGGAGTCTTTTTAGGGTATGTTTGCTTTGAGAGCTCAAGAATGCTGGGGCAGATGTTGGACAAAGTGTGTTGGCATTCACTAAAATGCAAAAACTATAGAAAAGTAATAGGAACACATCATAAGCTAGATGACTCAAGACTAAGGCAAAAGTGAAAATGGCAAGACTTGACGCAAACAAATCTTTTGGTGGATCACTTTGGGACAACTAATGGATGCCCTTCGAGTGCAGCTGTCACGCTCACTAGTATTTGCGATTCCAAGCTATTCCAGAAGTCTGAACTCCCTGCCAAACTTCAAGACACAGCTATTAACATTCAAAATCCCCCCGAAACAAATATGAGAGAATAACCAAGATTTAAGGGCCTGTTAATTATAGCATTATCTATAATAGCAAAAAAAATGGTAAAAGTCTAACACAGACATATGGTCCAATAATTTTGTATCCACATTAAATAATCATTAAGAATCACGTCTTTGAGGAATATTTAGTGGCTAGAACAATATTTAAAACAAGAAATCAAAACAGTACAAAATGAATCAATATAATAATATTTATTCACTTATTTGCGTTTCCTCATGGTCACGTGCACATACATTATAGGAACAAACTAAAATGAGATGTTAATAGTGTTTTTTTCTGAGCAATGAGATACTAAGTTGTTTTTCTTTGCCTCTATATTCTTTTCTGTAATATGCAAACTTGAAATGTACTAGTTTTTTTTTTTAAAAGATACATTATTTTTAAAAAGCACTGTCAAATCTCACAAGAATGTCCAGTTAATCTGGTGCTAGGCTACTGTACAATTATTAATAAATGATAATGTGTAAAATTTCTGTCCCAGATGTGAATAATTATAGTGAAAAAAATCTATACATCTCAGTCAATAGCTTCTGGGACAGAGGCTTAAACCTCATAATCTGCATTAAAGCACATCCTGCCCATGTCCTGCCTGCTGGATTCAGTACCACAGATGCAAAAAGGTGGAATGGATAGCAGTTGGGTGTGCACTTGGCCAGGTGTTCATGTATACGATGCCCTTGACACACTTACAAATGAAGCAGGTGAGGTTCACGAGGGTCAAATCACCTGCCTCAGTCACATGATTACTTAGTGATCAAACTGGACACAAACCCTCTTGTTCTGGTTTGCTCTTTCAATCACTGCAGGGCTGATGCAAACTCCAGATGAGATGAATTTGTTTCTGACACTTAAAAATATCTTCACAAAATATTTTGCTAGACCTTATGTGTGGCCCAATCAAGGACTTTTAAAAGTTCCTTGTCTTTCACACAATCATAGTGGAGGTACTAGAGAAACTGTTAAAAGGAGTTGAAATTACAGACCGAAAAGGGGAGGACAAATGAACAATCTACACCAAGGGAAGCCCCTGACAAACTAAGCAGAGACAGTAAAAAACAGCCTGGCCTCTGGCCAGCAGGGGAGGTGACCATCCAATGTGATTGATCAGGGCTGTGAGGCTTGCGAACTCCCCAAGTGCCTCTCTGGCCCTTGGCTATGCTGCTGCTTCTCCTCAATCCCTATCAGGACCCCATCTCTCCACTGTCATTTTTTAAAGCTGATTACAAAGTCTCCCTCTATCTCATCAACCTTAGAGCAGTATCTTTAAAATCTAAAAGCTTTCCTCTAGAAGAGACAAAAGACCTCAAAGATGATCTCCTTTCAGCATTTCCATTTGATAACATCTCTCAAGAAAAGGGCTAGGGCTGGATATTGTGCTAAGCCTATCTTTGCATCCATCACCTTACTTAATTCAATCAGCCCCTGAGTTTATGATCAGCACAACTTCTAACCGAGATAGAACCTCACAATTATAAAGAGCTTCCACACTCATTATCTCATTTGCTTCTCACAAGAATTCTTAAGGAAGGAAAGACAAGAAACATCATTCCCATTTTACAGACCAGGAAACTGAGGTATGCTGCTACTTTTTTTCTCGTTTAATGGATTAGACAGCAGCTTCCTTGGGAGGCACAGAGGGTTGGACTGGATATGAAATTGTGGCTGAGAATGTGGCAGCAACATGTCCCTAGAAGACAGGATCCTGAAGAAAGGCTTTAGGGGAAGGAGAGAGTTGTTGAAATATAGGAGTAGAAAGACTATGTATGTCACAATATTGCCAATAGGGGACGCTACACAGATGCCTACTTACTCCAGCCTTCCATTCTATCCATTCATCAAAGTCAAACCCAAATCCCACAGATCCAGGAAACCTTTCTTGATTATCCAGCACAAAGAAGCCATAATGACAATGCCTCAAGGCTTTCACAGGCCTTAGCTCTTTACAATATCATTAGAAGTTTTTAAGGGAGGTTTTGTCATTCCTTTTACACATGAGAAAAGTGAAGCTCAGACAGGTTAGGAAACTTGTCAACCTGACACAGTTAATGAGCAGCAAAGTACAGATTTCAAACTACATTGTGTTATAGCTGCCTCACCCTCCTGAATGCTTCATATCCTGTATATCACCATATGATCCTTAATTCTTCAGCTTGAGTGTAAGGTCCTTCAGGGCAAACAAAAAGCCTTATGCTTCTTTGGAATCCCAGCCCCAGTCCCCTAGAAATTAGCAGAGTATTATGGACACAGTGAGGCCTCAATCAGTATCCTGTGTTAAGGGTCTGTTAGGCAAGAACAGTAACTATGAAGAGAGAGTTTTTGAGCACTTTGATTATTAGGCTCTCTGTTCTATATAATTAAAACAAGAGTGAACATGAAATATACAATTTCTCCTGGCTGTAGCTTAATCAGGCATTCATTACCATGTTAGATTCTTTGTTATGTGAAAAGAACTGCTTAGTAAGCATTTCTTATGATGAGACTAATCAAATACGTACAGATTATCACAGAGACTTAAAAAAGGAAAATAACTAAACCATCAAACATATGGAAAGACAACAATATGCAAGGTATAACATTTCTTCTGAGATTAATAATGAGCCTCTAAAGCATGAATACTTGTCTCCTTTCTGGCAATTCAATATTCAAAGAACACTAATAGAGGAAGTCAGTCATGGTGCTAACTGGCATCTTTGGCCATTATACCTTATACCAGTGATGGTGAACGTTTCAGAGATTTCAATGATACAGTTAGCCCACTGTGGCACATGTGCCATATGTTTGCCACCACTGCCTTATACTCTATCAAGAAGACTGAAGCATAATGATACTGTTTGGGGTCAGAAACAGAAGAGAAGTACACTTTCAAGGGCTGTTCTTGTTCTTGCTCTGAGACCTCTTCATGTCAATCATTCAATTATCTTCATTGGCAAGCAAACTTTATATGAGATGTGATAAAAAGCACAGTGAATGTTAAAATTTTTAAAAAAATTATTACATTAAAATATGTATTGCTGGGCCGGGGATTTAGCTTGGTGGTTTTCCCGCCTGCTGCGCAAGCGCAAGGACCTGAGTTCCATCCCCGGTACCAAAAAAATAAAAAATTAAAAAAAAAATATATATATATATATTGCTATTACACCCCCCCAAAAAAAAAACCACTCCCCTTCACTTTGAATATACATATACCATCATTTTTGCCACTTTCAGGAGCAATTCTGGAAATGCTCTTTTGTGAAGTGTCTTTACTTGCATTGTTGTGGCTGCTTCAATGTTTTGAATTAATTCAAAACATTGTCTCCTTGACTTTGAGGAAGCATCAGAAATTGCAGGGTACCATATCCGGAGAATAAAGTGAATGAGAATACACACAGTAATATTTTCACAAGCTTGCCTTTCCATTGGATAATACTTGGCAGTAGCATTCACTGTATTTTTGATCACATCTCCTAAAGACACTCACAAAAGAGAACTTTGGAACTACATCAGAAAGTGGCAAGAATGATAAGATAAGTATGCTCAAAACGAGGGGGGCACTGTGAGGAAGATAAGTGGTAATGTCTTTTACTATAATAAATTAAAAAAATTTAAAAATATCTGTATATTTTGATCCACCTCATATGCAATCTACAACTTATTACTCTCATTCCATTCCATTTGCCCTCCCAACACATCATTACTTTATAGCTTTGGAAATACAGAGGGCCCAAACAAATTCACTGAGATTAGAATTTTTGATGGTGATAAGCTTAAGTATTTCTAAACTGACATTTGGTAAACTAAACAAACAATACAAGGGCCTATTTAACCACATTGTTTTGGCAAAGTGTATGTAATAATCTTAAGCTACTGAATGCAGAGCTTCTAATTTCCTTGATATTAGAAACAAAAGGCCACGTGCCATGGGTTCAGCCAACATCCAGTGAAAAGAGCAAATTTCAGGTTTACGGTACCTACATTTGCATCCTCATGGTTGTGGCCGTTGGTCTCAACCAATTCCTTGGTACCTTTTAACTGTAAATTTTAAAGAAAAACAAAAAATGAATAAGCAAGCATATTTGTTAAGTATATATCATCTTGTTAATGTGATTTTCTGAGGTTGCATTTTATACAACTTCCAATGAGGAAAAGCAGATGGAGCACATAATTCTAATGAGTCTTATTGAAACCAGTTTGAGACCAATATTTTATGAAGCTTTAGAGTTTGCAAAAAAAAAAATGGGTCTCAGTCATTATTTTTTAAATAATAAGATTAGAAAGCAGTTCCATAGGCATAAACTGTATAAAATTGGTTCTTAGAATAATAAATGATTGCATTTCCTAGTTGGATTGCTATTAATTTAAACCCTGCAGTGTTTGCAAATTGCCACCAGCTAAATGATGTTATACTAACGATTATTCATGAATGATGGATTTTTCAGCCATTTAAACATGCTGTAGTGCTACTGTACATGTCTTCCTTGAGAACATATTTGAATGGCTGGCATCATCTCTGGACTAAGACAGTTTGCTTTTTTTCATAGAGGGAGAGCTAGAAAGACATCTCCTTGGCCACTGGAGCATTAGAAGAAAAGCTATTTCTCAAATGAGATTTTTAACAGAAAACATTTGAAAATACTCCTCTTTCTCAAAGGCTTGAGAGTAATCAGATATGAGGACATTTCAGGAAATATTTAATTGGCATTTTATCCTGTCCTGACTCGGAACAGACAGCAAAGGAAAAGGTGAGCTAGTCTTGCAGCTGGTTGCCAGAATTTCTTCTCAGCTTATGATGCTTAAGAACCTGCATCTCCTTTATTTTTTTCTGCCTACTAGAAAATATTCATGGTAAGAAATATCTACAATTTGAGCAAAATTAAATTCATGTATATCACCAATATGTTTAATTGGGAACACTGACTTTTTTCTGGCTACTTGTGCACATTAAAACAAAAGCATCTTCAGTATTTTGAAGGCAGTCTTGAACTCAGCAAGAAAGCCATACCCTCTCCATGCCAAGAGAGGGACTGTGCTAAAGAAATGGTGACACAAAGAATTTGAGGATAGGGCAGCTAATTCTGGATACAAGACTCTTTGTCTCACTGTCACATCAACCCATTTAACAAAAAAGTGGCCCACTTTTCTTTAGAGCAACATCATAGATGTTTCTATGCCTAACAAACACAAAGATGCATGAGCAGTGTATGATAAATATAAATAGAAAAGATGCACTCAGTGATAGAGATACTATATTATCAGAGTGCACAAAAGACATAAAAAACTAGCTTAAGGTTTCTTACTGGGGTGTTCCTCATCTTCTTTCTCATCAACACTCCCTCTGCTCATCACAGTTTTGGTCCTGATACTTGTGCTTCTATGAGCTGGAGTAAGGTTAGCTCAGAAGAACTCTGTTCTTCTGCAGCAGATAGGAGGGATTGTTTGTTACAGTTTGTTCAACCTTTTTTGTGCTTACCAGCATAAATCCAATAGTTGCTTTCCTTCTCCCTTTTAAATAAATTCCCTCTTCCTAGTCCACATTATCCTTCAAATGTCCTTTCTCTTTATGCCACTCACTCACTCACTCCCCTCTCCTTCTGTCTGTAGGTATTGTTCACTGGTTGCTCTCTTCTGTCAGAACTCCACATGCAACTCCTCCTCCTCCTGTAGACACTTCCCCTTACAGCTGTAGCTCCAAGTTCTGCTTCTCTGCCTTTGTGGACCACTCCCTGTTCCTATTTCCAGCTGCTCCTCTTCCCAAGCTGGGGCTAAACATCTTGTTTCATGAGTCTTGGGTTGACAAACAAGCTCTGTATCCTCAAGGAGATGAAAGGCAGGAGTCAGGGACTGGAGGGACCTAGGGAAGCTATATCTCAGCAAATTTCATCTCAGCAAATTGGAGAGCTGAGGGAATGAATAACCTCTCCTGGCCTCCCCTAGAGGCGGTGGCTCCACCTGGGATGGGTCTGTCCTCAAGACCTAGCCTCTGGTCAGGATTCCTAGAAAGTGGCAGATGCTTTGAATAGCAAAATTCTAAGTCTTCAGAGAAGGATGAATCTTTTCTTGTGCGTGTGTGTGTGTGTGTGTGTGTGTTAAGGCTATATGTGTGCAGGCAATAAAAATGTGTTTACACATGTATTTACTTTAAATAAATCCAAAGAAGGCATCATAAGACAATGCTGTGGAAGTGAGAGGTATGATTTTCAAAGTATGTCTGTGGGTGGGGAGGAGGCAGCAAGGATACGGAAGGAACATGTACATTGCTTCCTGCAAGGACCATCTGGGCACCAGGCAAGGGGCTCACAGGCAAATAGCTTGGTCATAGCAATAATACCCAACTGCCTTTGGCTGCTGTGTTGCACTGGTCCCCTGAGACTCAGGTACTCTTAGTGCCTATGCTTTAAAGGAAATACCACAGATTTGAAAACACCCCCTTCTTAGTGGTATTTTCTAGGTCTTTAATGATTTTGTTGTTCTGAGTTCTCTTGAAAATCTCCTTTGTTAGTCATGGAAAGTGAAGTGTGCTGTCCCACCAATACCTGTGTGGGTGCATTGCTCTTTAGAAATGCATTCCATAGCAAGACTATATTAATACTTTCTGCACAACTCAGAATCTATTTTTATAACTGAGGTTTGGACTTCAAATAAAAATAAAGGATTTGAGTCATTTAGAGAAAAGGGAAATTCACCTTTCCCCACTCTGGTGAATACTACTTTTTAACGAATCAGGGAGAGAACAGAAAACAACAAAAACACAAAGCTGTATGTCTGATGTGGAGCAAACTGGAACCCAATGAATTCCACTTTGCTAGGAGTCTCATAATAATGACAAGCATGGGGGATGGTGATTTCAGGGCTCCAGGACATTGCGAAGGTAGTCAACTAGACTCTTCAATTCAGTGTAATATATTCAGAATCATACAGACTCAGCCTCACTGTAAATTACTCAATCTGTATTAATCAAATGAATGTAATCACTACTTCTGGAAAAAATTTTCTTCCAAAGTTATAAAAGTTTATAAACTTTTATGTATGTGGGTGGGGAGAAGGCTGCTCTCCTGTTATGAGGCTCCTCACAAGTCACATACTTTCAGGGGAAAATAACTAAAATATATATTTTAAAATTCTAAATCATTGAAAGCTAGAAAAGCCTGAGTACCAGCTGTGCCACAGCTCTCATTTTACATTTTCTAGAATCTCACTTTTGAAGTTACTCATATGGTATAAATAACCTTTCCATAAGCAAGTGAAAATGTGAAACAACCTAGAGCTGACTGCAGGAGGTTGGATTTACTCTCCGCGATTTTTCCTGCCATCTAATTAGCAGTCATTACATTGTCTGCAGAAAGTGAAGGTCAGGAATTGGAAAGCATTTCAAGGACTGTCCTGACTCCTCTAGTGTGGACAGTGAGGCTTGGATTTCGCTCTGCTGCCTGTTAAGTGATGCATCTTACCCCACTCTAAGACAATACTTGCCCATCCACTTATCAATGTCAGGCCATACTTTTATATCAAACAAACCCAGAATGAAATGATCAGATTTATAAAAGTCATATGAAAGGTTTGTTGCTCACCACTGTCAGATAAGTGCCCTGATACAGAAGAGAAATACTTTTTTGTGTTGCTGCCAATATTTTAAAACTTCATCAAAATTCACTGTTTTGTAGAAGAAGCATTCACACAATGCAGGCAGGCTCAAGTAGTTTGTGTAGGTATGTGATGTATAGAGATGTTAAGAATTATATTACACATTCCATATGGAAACCTGCTGGGAGGTTTGACAGAGTAAAGGCTAATTACCCTACAGACTACCTCAGGTGTGTTTGTGTGGGTGACACATTAGGGAGTGTAAGTCTGGAACCTTTGACTTGATTAGTAAATCAAAATGGTTTCCCTTCACTTACTTGTTCCTGCAGGACTTTCAGTAATGCTTGTGTGTGGGACTGCTCTTCCTTTGCTTGTTCCAGTTCTGACTTTTTGTTGTTTAACTCCTCTTGGATGGTCAGCAATTGCTGTAATTAAAAGGATATTTAGCATAAGTAGGATTGAATATAAGGTGAATATAAGATATTCAAAATATGATCAAAATGATGAGATTTTTATGTTTTATAGTTTTATCCAGACACCAGTTGACTTTTTGTATATGTGTTTTCCCTGTTTAGTATAAGAAACATTGCGGTTTTGTACACACTATTAGGCTGTTTGTGACACTGATATACAAAAACTTGCTTTAGTATTTAGAAAGACACCATTATATTCCTCTAAATAAATGCATATTTGTAAAAAAGTAGAATAGTGTTAATAAACAACATATTGACAGATGATGAAACTAAACAATAATTTAAAAAGGTAATCAGTCAACTGGTCCAGTTTAACATGTTATAGGAAAGCTAGTTTTATGTAGCTTCACAGAACTGCTTGATCAAGTGGCAGAGACCACAAAAGATCCTTTTATCCTCTCTGTTATGACGGTGATGTTTTCTTGGATCAGCAGGAGTGAAGTCCAAGTCACAATCAATAGATCAGCTGAGAAAACTACTGATATAGGCTGTCAAAATACTAAGGTATGGCCTACACTACACTACATTTTTAAGCAGGGCTACTGAAGGGCTTTTTGTAAGCCTTGAGTTTTCTCTGACCTTTCACTGTAACTCCTGAGAGGCTCACATTGTCTGCCAGGAGGTCTGTGCTGCCCTGCCCTGATTGGTTGGAACACGGTTCTCCATGAATGTACACATAGGCTAGATAATGCATTTAATAGCTACAACACAGGCCCTGGAAGCAGCTTTGTCTATTCAGCTTCTTGACAACAAAGGACCAGGGTAAAAATACACAAGAGAATTCTCCTGCACCTTACATAATAAATGTTACACTAATGCTGTGGACGTGTTAGTGCACCCCCGCTACAAAGGGACCTGTCTCTAACACCCAGGCTGCTTCTTCAGGGTCCTGAGAAGCCGACTGCGGAGCTGCCTGGAAGGCTCCTAACTACCAGAGCATGAAAAAAAACACTCGCACTGAATTTCTTGTACTTTAAGGATTAAGTTAAATCTTTAAAACTACTGGTTTTGGGGACTTTGAGGGTAGGAAGTACTCAGAAAAACACAGTGTGCTTGCCCTGGGGTTTACTGGTGCTATTTTCTACTTTGGCACCACATAGAGATTGAAGAATGTACATTAGTTTCTCCAGCATAACCAGTGATTTCCTAAAAACTCAGTACCTCCTATTTTACCACCTGCCCATGTCACCATCACAGGTGAGGGCATCACATGCCCCAGATGGCTCCTTAACAGTTTGTGTGATTTGATTATGTACCAATTGGCTAGAGTGCACCAACTAGGAAGTCTGTTGTCCTCTGGCATGGTGACAAGTACCTACAACTCAGTTGGACAGTGAAGGGATGACACTGTCCCTTCATGCTTATTCATGACAGATCCCAGAGCAGTCCCAAGAGGATCTGGTGCTCTGACTTAGGTAATGCTAAACGAACTTTTAGTTTCACTAGACAGTTTCAAATCTAATCTTTAATCCACTTTTTAAAATGAGCCCAATGGTGGATAGGAAATTATTTTCAAAAAAGTACGTACCTTGTTTGTTCACTAGACCTGAAATGGCAAAATACAGAAACACCTAATGTCCAGTAGCAGACAGTTAGTTCCATTAGTGACAGTGCTGTAGGAGAATGCTATGCAGCCATTAAAAATGGCGCTACATAAACTCTAGATACAAAGGACACTCATAATACATTGCTCAGCAAAACAGTCCAGGTTATAAAAATGTTACATTTAATTTGCCAACATATTCATAGAAAAGAACAATATTCAGATACTGTCTCTGACTATGTAAATTTATGGATCTTTCTGTTAGTTTTGTTTGTTAGTTTTCTGGTATATCTGCAATGAGTACATGCTGCTTTAGTAATAAGAAAACAACAAAGTGACTTTACTGTAGGGGAAAGACAAATAACACTTGGACACAAATCTTAACTGCTATTGCTAGCAATGTGAATATCCACAGGAAAAGCATTATTCAATTTCCTGACTTTTACCAATAATAAAGATTTTTCATCTTTAAAAATACTATGTTTTCTGATTCTCTGTGATTTTAAGTATTTCATCATATGCTTGCTAGTTATGGGATTTTATTTATACTCTTTCAAAGCACAGACACAGGCAGTGGTTCTTAATTCTGGCTGGCCATTAACATTATCAGGAAAGCTTTAAAAATACGGATTTCTGAGTCCTACAGAAAAGCAATAAACTATGTATCTAGAGGCGGGGCCCAGGCATTGATTATTTTTCTAAAACCTTCACAGATAATGCTAATGCATAACTAGGATGAGAATCATTTCTTCCTTCAGTGTTCCTTTAATCCTCAGTCAGCTGCAACGTGACTTCAATCTTGAGCACTCTACTCAAGCCATTCTCGCTGACATCACCAGTGCTTTGCTAACTGCCATCTCATATGCCAGCTCTTTTCTTCTCACCATATGCTCTCTCTGGTGATCCTATTTGTGCCCACGGCTTCAGCCACACATACATCTCATGTGCTGGTGCTTCATAAAGCCATCTTCACAGCTCAGCCTCTCTCTTCCTGCTCATTAGGCCCTTAACTGACCATGTTTCAAAATGTCCTGATCAGCATATGCTCTCTCCCCACCCCCCACACATCCCCTCCTGGTATCCAGAGTTGAAGCCCTGAAGTCCACCTTGTCCTCTGTCACATCCTCAAAATCCATTTGCCTATTCCTCTGCATCATCTTCTCACTGTCATGGTTCAGGCCACTGTCTCTCTTCTTTTAGATTCTGCCAGTGTTCCTTGACATGCACATATACTTCTGAGAGAGTTGACCACCCAAGAATCAGAGTGCTTCCATGTTCAAAAATACCATTAGGTCACCAGCACACTGAACAACTTATCCTTCCCCAGATATGCCAGGTCCTTTCATGACTTATGGCAAGCTCACTACCCAGAATTCTTCTCAAAATTCCTACTCAGTCTTCAAGCCCTAACTCCAATGTTGCTTTAGGCCACCACCAACTCACATGTTGCCTCTGTGCAACTCAAAAGAGCCTATCCTCAAGTGGACATGACCACTCACCAGTAGTGGATAAGCATTTGTTTTCATTCCCTCTCACCCTTTTGGCCTGGTGCCCTTGCCCAGGGCAAATCTACATAATTATATGCAGGAGCCTTGGGTTCTCCTCAATTATGTTCAGTAGTCTTGGGTTCTTCCTCAGTAAAGATATCCTCTAATTGCCCAAGTAAAGTTAGTTCATCTACTATCTATGCATCCAAAGCACACATTAAGGTATAGTACATTTCATACTTATCTCCCCATTTCATTATATCCACCAATAATTAGGTTATATCCAATACAAAGTAGATAGTAAGCAAATGAATGAAGGGATGAATGAATATCTGATCTGATTTCCCTGCTTCTATAGAGTTAAACCATGATTTAGCAAACAAAAACAAAAACTACCTACAGTTCTATCACTAGATAATTTTATTGTTCTAGACAGATGGATACATAAAGCTTTCAGGGGAAAATAAGAGCTCCATTTAAGACATTCTGATTCATTACTCTGGCAGTTTCAGATATCCTTGTTAATCTGAGGGGAATAGTTCTTAAAAGGTTAAAAAATTCCAATCAATGAATTTATAATTATGTCATTTATTCTCCATGTCCAACCCCCAAAATAAAAAGATACCACCAAAGGAAAAAACAAAATCACCATTCTTAGACTGTTTCTGCATTTTACTAAATTAATGTTTTATTCTGTTTACAAAGTATATACTTGTAAATCTAATATGTATGTATTTAAAATAGTGGTGATTCAAAACTGCTATTTTTCATATGACTACATGGCCTATAAAAACAGTGAGCCAGTTCACAACTAGATAATTTAAGTCAGTCTTTCTGGTCCTTTTCATTGAAATTTATGATACTGTATAATATTCTTTCTAGTTTGAATTTTTAAGTACCAATGTGTCTCAATTACAGAAGTTCACAGCAGCTAGAACTTAATCAGAAGTGTCTCCTGGTTGGACTGGCTGACTGCAGCATAATTTTAATTTAACACTTGAGAGTATGGCATTAAACGGATGCACTATTACGTTCTTTGGTGGTTACAACTGAATGTATTCCAATTAGACAATTATACATATGCCAATCAAGTGGAAACACTCTGGTGGACAATAAGCAGGTAAATAAACACTGTACCTGACACATCTTGATTTTCCCAGGCCCCTGATTTAATAGGATCATTTGTAATGCTCTCTGGGGATGTAGACTTCAGTGTGTAATGGGTCTTTCTTTCTGACAAATTCAAAGAGCATTACAAATGTTATTTGGAGCCCCGGAATAAGTGAGGTCACATTTTCATCTTTACAGATGGGAGAATTGTAGGCACATAGAGGTTGAATCATGTATCTGAGGTCACACTGTCTGGAAGAGACATATAACTTGCACAACTCAATTTTCCTGTCTCAGACGGTGATTTCTACCTTGGCAAGCACACTGCATTGTCAATTTCACATGGAAATCAGGACATGGTAAACTTAAAATCCTCCTAGCAACGACTTCTACCAGGCATTCATCATTCCCACTTATGAGCAAGGCTGTGGGAGACATGTCATTGTGTACACTTTTGTGAGCACTGTGTGGGATTTAACTTTCCTTTAAAATGTGTAACACCACTTCCATGTCTTTTTTCTCTTAAATCTTGTAATTTGGTTACCAAGGTGAAGTTTTTATACAGTTGACAGATTATGTAAGGTTAGATTTCATGAATGTCACAGATAAATATCCTATATGAAATATATAGACAACATGGTACCATATGTCTGACACTGATATAACCGGGATAACTCTCAGGAATGTTTGGCTGGGGACAGAAGTTGTGGTAGACACAAAACAGAGAAGATCTTGAAAGAGAACACAGACCTGTCTTCTCTGGTGGTAGAGAAATAGGTACCCTTTCTGTATCTAGGTTGGTAGTGAATCAG